CCTCAAATCCAGCTACATGGCCCGTTAACCAGCGGGAGCAGTTAGCTGCATACCAGGCCCAATTCTTTTTCCTTTTTACGTTTTTTTTTTTTTAATTAAAATCAATTAAACCCTCGTACTTTTGTTTTTGAGTCAATTTAGTCCCCATCATTTCCAATTTTCCAAATAATTCGAAATTTTAGAAATTGTACACATAAAAAGGATTATATTGAGATACTATTTGGAATTCCTTTACCAGTGAGTCCAGCGTTTTTAGAGTCACCTGAAGTGCAAGGATAAAGAAGGGTGTATGGCACCTGGACTGGTCCCTTTCTGTTCTTCATTCTGTCATCTTCATTCCTGTCGTTAATTTTGTGCTCAATTTCTGCCAGCTTCTTTCGAAATCTATCAAATGCAGCTAGTGGTTCAGCATCTGTAGTCCACTCTGGTGTATCTCTCTGTCCAAGATAAACTTCATCAGTTGAATGTCGTGACAAAACCTCTATTAGAGACACACCAAGGAGAGTTTGAAACTGTGCTGTGATTGTTTTCATGAAGGCCTTTGAAAAATCTTTTTCAAGCTCCTCATATTCTGGGGTGCCTAGTTCGGGCATGAAGCGACGGCTTATAGTTGGCCTGTTAGGGTGGTAGCCAGCATAAGGGTACTGACCAAAATTAATGGCTGCATGGAAAGCAGAAGCCAACCATATGATGATGGTGCATGTTTGCTTAAGCTCAGCTACCGTGTTCATCCCAGGCCACCATGGTTCATCTTTCCTATCACCATGGCCTACATTGAGGAGCTCTGACCACCATGACTGGAGTTCATTATCATCTTCAACCACTTTGTCTGTTGGGTAGTAAAAAGAGCAATAATCATTTACCCATGTTTGAATGGCTGACCAGATTTCCAGCCCATCAACTGCGTATGGATAATCCTCTATCAGAAGTTTGAGGCCATGGGGGCAGCTTGAGTCTGGAACTGCCATACCTCTGAAATGAAGGTTTAAAGTACTAGATCAAGATTCATTCTCCCAAATGCCAAATATGCAGAGGCTATCTTCCAAACCAATGTGGCTTACCTCTTGAGCAGATCAGCTGGGAGTGCCTGCTCAGTGAAATTCCAATTCTTGTAGATGACAGCTGACATTTCCATTGAATACTCACGTGGGAAAACCGTGTTCTCCAGCACTCCACCAGCATTAATAAGTATATGACGAGCCAGAGCATTTATATGCATTGTGTCACGGAAATGGGGATGCAGAAGCTTATATATGGGGTGAAGAACACTCAATTGTCTATGAGTTGCAATAACAAACGGCTCTATCACAGCATGAGTGTTTAGCCTGCAAACAAATCAGAAAAAGTTTATAATTCATGGCAAGCATTCTAACTTCTGTTACCAGGCACTGCTTTCGCTTCAGTATCATACCAGTGGCTGATCAGTTGATGGTAGCCAGAATCATTAACTGCTACATAAGCTTTGGCCAACTTCCAGATTGAACCTTCAACGCCTTCCTGTGCTGGGGTAAAAACTTTGCTGACAGCACCATGGTTTTCTCCTTGAGGATGTGGCAAGCTCAATTCAATTGCTAATGGCTTCAATGTGCCATCATCTTGCAACAAGAGTAGCGTTCTGGAGGCATAAGTCTTTGTGCCAGTGGAATTGATCCGAGCCAGGTATGGCATTAATGCATCGTGATGATTTAATATAAATAGCTTGTTATTTCTTATTGCCTGAATGAAATGTAACATTTCAGAACAACATAAAACCAATTAATAATCTGAAAATAACAAATAAATAAGTTTTTGGCATCCAACAACACTAATAAAACAGGTTAACATTGAATCATACCTTTTCTACTGTTAGTCCATTCATGTTGTTCTCTATATGTTCCTCTGTTATGGTACTGTTCTGATTGCCATACACTTTAGGATCAAGGATGCTGGCTGGAGGGAATTCCTGTAATCATATTTTAGAAAAATTATTTATGACCAAGGGTATTAATAAATAAAGAAAAGCTTATATGGGAGGATGTTAGATCTTACTAGGAGGCGACTGATTATTACTGGATTGACTCCAGCAAGCATTTCCCTTGCAAATTCTTCATCTGTCATCCAAGCAGAATTATCCTCTGTGGTCATACCATTAAAATATTGTCATTTGCATGTTAAAACTGAAGATACCAAGAATCCTACCATTCATCCAAGAAATGCACAGAAAATATTAAATTACCTTGTATCACAGCAGGCACTGGAAATTTCAAGAGTCTCTCACCATCATTTCGAACAAGTTCCTTAATCAACTCCCACGGAATGCACTCCCTTACCTTTTTGAGGGTATCGTTATTTGGTAGTGGGATGCACCCCTTATACAGCTTAAGTACATCTTCAATGGACTCAAACTCATTTTTGTTTTTGTTAAACAATGATCTAACCTCCGGAAGCAATACTTGGAACAAGGATTTCACAACATATCCCAGAACATCTGAAAACTTCACAGGACTGAACTTCTCATCTCTTGGAACATAAATGTTTAGACTTAGAAATTGCAGTCTGCTCTCCGATTTGGGATCTGTTACATTTAGAAACATAAGTTGCTAATTAAAATAATCAATGTAAATGATGGTAAAATATTGTAGATCCTTGTCAATGTTACGATTAACATTCCACTTGCTTTATACCATTAGAACCCTACACCATTGGGAAAGCTGGAATCAGCAGTAACAAGCTGTTGCAAAATAACTTGTGGAGGATTCTAACCTTTTTTGGTTGGTTTCCTTCCAGTCCTCCCCCTTCTGGGATATGGATACTCTTGTGTTCCCCCAAGGACAGGGCGTGCATATTTTGGACCCTTGTCTGGACTCCCCAGATCATTATAATAGTCATAGTCATAAACTCTGTCCCATTCCTTAAGCATTCCTTTCCCATTTCCTCTTAGATTTACGAGTTCTTCTTCCCTGTACTTCCGCAAGGGTTCCGGTGTTTGATGTGGAAGGTAGGTCTAAGAGAAAAAATAATAATAATAATGTTCATTTGTGAGCCAATCGGCTTATCATCTCACCCCAATCTTAATGATAAAGAAAACCAAAGCTGTCAGCAGGGGGACTGGAAGATTAATAGATTATGTTTTCTTGAAGAGAATTAAGTTAAGTTCATAATGAAGCCCCAAATATTGACCTTGAAAACCACAATCATGCTGGTAACAAATCCAAAAATTACAATCCCTACTACATGACCATAAAGCATATAACTTTAGCAATAAATTAATCCTGAACAGTGCAGCATAACAAGATCATGATGAAGAACTGAAGGGATAAAGCTATCTACCTGGTTGGAAAAGAAGACTCGATTATATTTGTAGAGATGTTGAGGGTAGACCCAGGAATTGCAGATGAAATCTACCGTGCTGTGACCTGCAGGAACACCTTGTAGAGTGACTGACTTCAGGTAGAACTGGCTGTGATGATAGTTCCTGATTACGAAAGCCCCAGGAACACCCATAGACTGATGCCAGTCAAATGTAACAGAGAAAGAATCTTCTCCTGCTATTGGTGATGTAATTGTTGTAATCCAATTCTCTAAGTAGGCTGCCTTCCCAAGCTTCCCTCCAGACCCATTAGCTGAACACATAGGGGATACAAGAATTGACACACAACTTAACCAAGTCAACAGTTTTTCTGTTAACTGCAACATTAAGTGACTGTTGAATTGAAGATTAGATAAAGAACAGTGATTTCCCATAAGATATGTAAAATCAGACATTCATGGATCTCTGTTCTTGAATTGGCCAAAGAAGACTGAAGAAACTAGGAAAGAATCAATTGTTCACCAAATTAAGTAATGACCTGTTTGTATACAGACTACAGAGAAAGGAGGGCAAACCTGGGTCGCTATGAGTAGCACTGATGAGCTGCAAAGAAACACCCCTGCCAAAGAACTCATGAAACCGATCAAGAAGAGAAGCCTTGACATCAGTGGAGTCCAACACATTCTTCTTCATCAGTGTCACTGTCCCTCTGATCTTTGTCTTCCCTTCATCCCCCGGACCGTTCACATCTGTATCTGGGTGGCCGTAGAACATGTTCTTTACTTTCTTCTTGAACATCTCTGTAACTGGAAAATTCTCCATGGGGTTTTGTAATTGCACCAAAGCAGGAATCCTTCTTTAATCTGCGTCTTCTCTTCGGATGAATCTGTAAAACGCGTAAAACGCCGAAAACGCCGAGGTGGATCTTCGGGTATACAATGCTTAAATTAGCAATAATTAAATATATAATTAATGAAAAATGAGTGTTTACTGATGGTTTCAATCCCCTTTTTCACGTGGTACTGTAAGATATTTATAGGATTTAACGAAGAAACCACGTGGCATGCTAAGTAAAATAATTCAAGTATGATGTGTCTTTTTAAATGATCATCTCAGATTAAAAAATTGAGATATATTAAGATGTGAGTATGTTCACCATAATTATTATGCAGCTTGTTATAAAAAATCAAGTGCGTACATATTTATTACCGCTGTCATGCAGCTGGTTGAACAAAAAATGTTGAATTTATCTTTTACTTCAATCATAAAAAAAATTACTGCCATACGTAGAAAGTTGAGCACCTCGAACCTATTTTTACATGTTTATAATGTTTCTGTAGGCAGTACTGACGCCATGGCAACTGCGTCAGATTGCTGATATCACTAAATTATTCTCCCTTTTTTACTTAAAGAAATAAATTATTAGCCAACTGGAGCTGTGGTCTAATTGGTTGACCCCCAAGTTTTAGGGCTTGGGTGAGGCGGAGGTTAGGGTTTTGAGCACTGCCACCGCCGTGAACTCCACCAATTTATGACTTAATGATCGTGCGCCTCAAATGAGGGGGTGGAAGTTTCACTTTCCTAGAAAAAATTCCAACTGCTAACAAACTAACTCTACTAATTTCTTAACTATTTACTTGGTCAAAAAAATAAATAAATAAATAAATTATTATTTCTTGACTAAGTAATATTAACTCACATTGACTTGGGAAATTATTCAGATAGGTAATATCTAATGATATATTAAAGAAAAAAAATATTTTGTGTTTAAATTATATGTTTACATTATGTATTTACATTATAAATTAAATTAATTATTTTTTTATACCTTAAATTAGATCAAAATTAAGTCAGAATCAATTTAAACATTTTTTTATGTTCACACTATAAATTAAATAAATTTCGTTTTAAAACCTTGAGTTGCATCAGAACAGTTTAAATGTCTCTTTTTTTGCATTCAATTATCACAACTATCTTCCATTCACCTTCATAAATGCTTTTATTTTTTTCCCTCTGCCCCACTACCAAGTTGCACCAAGCTCTGGGAGTTCCTACCAACCACTAATCTTTTCGGCCTCAATATCGACTCCAACACCTAAAATCTGGTAAACATGAATTAATTTCGAGAAAAATGAATTAGTTGGACTCGCTAGTTTATCATGTTTGGTTGAAGGATTCAATTGGACCATTTTGGAATTTGAAGTCCCTGCACTAGCAGTATAAGCAACAAGTCCTTCTTCTTGTGTAAATCCCTTCAAGCTCTACGTTAAAGGAAATTTGGCTTATTTATTTATTTATTATTTTTTTTTGGGTGGACTGAAGGGATGATATGGTTTTTTTTTTTTAATTAATCTTTAACTATTCAGTAATCACAATGATCTCGATTAATCTAAAATGGAATTATATTAGACCTCATAAAAAGAAGTTCTTTAAATATTTATTTTTTTATTTATAAAATTCAAATTTAAGATTTTATTTTTAAAAAATTCAACTATTTCTATCCAAATTAACATTGTGATAATATGGTTTTTTGGTTTGTTTTTATGTTCAATTAGCTGATGTTTTGCGGTGGGTCCGATTAGAAATAAGTTTTTTTTTTTTTTATCTGAAATATAAAATGTTTTGTTTGCTGGGTTGTCTTTTGGATTTTGATTTTTCTTTTTCAATTTTTCTTAGGTCCTTAATGCTTTGTTCATTAAAACAGAAAGGTATATGCTTTTCGCTATTGTCACGGGTAAGTATTCCAAAGGTTAATTGAATATTTTATATATATTTGTGAGGTTAATATGCCTCAGATGATTACTATTCTGGAGGATGTTGATTTATCTTTCTTATGAGTTGCTTATATGTGCAGGAATTCAATGAAAAAAACCAGAGGATAAACTGGATATAAAAGAAGCTATATGGAAAATCACTTTCAAATTATCATTACTGGAGACATTTTCAAGTTATCAGGATAAAAAAAATAAAAAGAAGAAGAAGAAAAAGAAGCAACTAAGCTAGCCCGGACCCCGTAATTATTTGCAAGTCTAGATAACTTACTTTTATTCTAATGAAATTTATTTTGTCCTAGGCTTTTACCAAAACCAAAATTTTAATCAGTTGGATCTTTTAGGAAAGTTCTTTCTATGCAGCCGGAGGAAATTTCTACTTAGTAATCTGATGTTCTTAAAGACTCTGTTCTAAAAATATTTAGTTCATTAGTTGAAAATCATTCACTCTTATTTCTTAATTTTGATAATAAATTCTTAAAAAATAATCGATACACACTCAGTTCAACATATTTTCTGACACATTTTTTGTTCAACTATTAAAAATATAATATAATAAATATAATCAATTTAATCAGTTCTTACATTTTGTGTGCATAATTGTATTTTTAAATTTATTTTCTTTTAATTTTAAATAAAATAATAATAATTTTTTAATAAATATGTTATATAATGTGCTGAATCGAATGTATATCAATTATTATCCTAAATTCTTTCATTCTTTAGTATTTATCTTGCCTCAACATGCATTCTTATCTCATTATGCATGACAATTTTAAGAACCTAGCTAGCTATCATTGTGTTGATCTCTTATGGTGTTGATTTGACCTCTCGCTGCAAACTCCATTATTCATCCCCTCTAAATTGTACATTTTAAGTTGGACATAATT